CGCACCTGGGGAGGGACCACGTCAGCCGACCCACCCCCACCCCCACACCCCCCCCCCCGCCCGCCCAGGTTTGTCTTTGTTCCCATCACCTCTGCAGGTATCCTGATCTGGAGGTCTTCACAGCCGTGTCCACCAGACCTTCTCGACCAGCCATACAGTGGAAGAAGAACTCCTGCAGAACAGGAACAGAACCCCCCCTGCCCGTCAACTACCCCCGTCAGGGTCACAGCACAGACTGCTTCACAAACTCACACACCTGAGGTCTGATGCCGGTGAGGAACCTTCCAGAGACGAAGCCCCCGGCCCCAGGAGCGGGGTCGTAGGGCTGGAAACAAGGCAAGAACTTCCCTGAAGGCATCAGCGGAGGCCGACGGCCCTCCAGCTCAATCTGCCCCAGGAGGCAGGAGATCTGAGACACACACACAGATATGGTCAGTGACGCTGGTACCAGATGGTACCATTTGGTGCCAGATGGTACCAGATGGTGGAGGTGTTGAGTTGGTGGAGGGCTGTACCTGCATGGTGTTGACAGTAGAACCTTTGGCCCCTGACTGGACCATCAGCTGAAGGTTGTTGTCTGGAAAAGAGGTGTGGAGTCCAAGAGGCATACAGACCTGAAGACAGACAGACAGACCGTTGGTGGCAGCAGTGGACCAGACCCTGACCCAGACCCTGACCCTGACCCTGACCCTGACCCTGGTTACCTTGTTGATGTCGTTGTTCACTTGGTTGGCCACTTCCTTGAACTTATGGTCGGCCGTCAGGAAGTCTCTCTGGTCGGGGCTGAGGTGAGCGTCCTGCCAGCGGCCCCGAGCCTCGGCCTGGTCAGTGTTGGGGGGCAGGTTGAAGGCGGCCTGCAGGGCCTGAAAATGAAAAAAATAACACGTTGACAACCAGCACGACAACATGTTGGGTCAATGACCTCTGACCTGGCCTCAGTCTGGACTACTAAGTCACAGCTAACTAACTAATAACTGAGCGACTGAACTGAAAAAGATTTTCATTTGAAATAAAGACTCGGAGTTGAACCTCCGACCCACCCTGGTGCCAACACTCAACGACTCCCTGATGATTCTCTTCCTCCGTTGATTGGCTCCAGGTTTGACCAGGATGTCCTCCACACCTGCAGGGGGAGACAAAGGGATTTCTACATGATCTTTATGCTCTCACCTTAACGCCACACGTGTGTGTGTGTATGTGGGGTGGGGG